AAAAAGTAGATTAAAATTAATTATTTTATATATAAATTGTTTACTGTATTAACTAAGGATGTTATGGATTGCTATAAAGCAACACAAAGTTCTGGTTATTCAATATTTAAAAAAAAACATGTATGTAAGTTTTATAAAACGCTAATGGGACATGCGAAAATGTGTGTTTCACAAGTTTTAAAATAAAAAAAAATATTCTAAAATAACTAAACAAAAATTTTCTGAAAGAGTTTACTAAGGGCTTGTTAGGCTTTCACTTGGTTTTTAAATCAATAGGATCCGATAATTTTTAACAAAGTTATTGGAATTCAAACTTACGGACAGCGGAAGGCGGGTGTTTTTTAAAACGACCCACTTACAAAGAATGTTTGGAATTTTTCAATATTCTAAAGGTCACCACCAACGATGTAGCTAAACGAGGCGTCGCTTTGATTGAGGAATATAACAATTACCTCACTAAAGATGAGCAACAACTGCAGTATTTAATGCAAGTAGTTTGCGACCATCGACAGAGATATCCTAACTGTATGGGGCGCCGTTTTATTTTTTAATCAGTAATTATTTTTATGTGTTAACAATAAAGTCATATTTTTAATTAGATACAAAATATCACACAAGAATTTTTATTCTGCGAATTAATATCATAGAAGATATTTTAAAATTAAATTTAATTTTTATGCCAAACTGATATTTTTAATTTAGCGAATTTAAATTATCTGTTTCTTATATTTGTATTTTATTGCTCAACACATATTTTTAATTCGCTAAATTAAAAATTGGATTTAATTTTTAAGCCAAACTGATATTTTTAATTTAGTTAATTTAAAATATTGGCTTCTAATATTTGTATTTTTTTGCTCAACATATATTTTTAATTCGCTTCATTAAAAATATCTTATGACAATTTTTTAAATGTATTAAAAATGTCATAGCAGGTATTTTGAATTCGATTTAATTTTTATTTTATTAAATAAGCAGATATTTTTAATTCAATGTGATATTTTTAATTTCGACTGGTTGAGAGTTTGGATACCCCTGTTATTCCAAACGATATAAAAACCGACCCACTCCAACAACAAACTAACGCGCACTGTCCTTGTTCTGCACACGCTGGGTCAGTGCGACATCGGACTCACGTATGTCGTGGATCTCAATGGTTGTGCCGCCATCTAGCGATAAAATTATTTTGTAATGCCAGGGATGTCCAAACTTTCAGTCGGAATTAAAAATATCACATTGAATTAAAAATATCAGCTTATTTAATAAAATAAAATTTAAATCGAATTAAAAATATCTCCTATGATAATTTTAATACATTTAAAAATTTATCCTATGATAATTTTAATTCAGCGAATTAAAAATATGTGCTTACCAAAAAAATACAAATATAAGAAGAAAATATTTTAAATTCAATAAATTAAAAATATCAGTTTGGCATAAAAATTAAATCTAATTTTTAATTAAGCAAATTAAAAATATGTGTTTGACAAAAAATACAAATATACACTGTTCAAAATTTCATGACCATTTTAACACCAAATTAACACCATATATGGTCTATATCGATACAAACCAAAATGGTGTTAAATAGGGTTCGTTGGTCCGGTGTAAATTCAAATACTAAAATGGTTTAAATTCAAATACTAAAATGGTGTAAATTTAACTTTCACACAGTACACAGTAAAAAATATTTCCGTGTAAAGTTACCAAATGGAGTGGTAAAATCATTTGGTGTTAATTTATACACTAAAATTGGTCAAAAATATTAAGTGTTTATTTTAAATTGTGGTAAAATTCATTCGTGTTAATTTAAATTTATTTTACACAGCACCGTGTCAATCTAGTGTTAATTTAAAGATAAACTCGACGCAGTGTACATTTGACACTATTATTTGTTGACAGCTACACACATTGTGGTAAAAAAGTCACGTAGTCATCACCATTCGCTAACGGCAAGGGTCACCCTTGAAGAGTGCAGTTGATAGTAGTGTACCTATGCATGCTATTTTAAGACCATGGTTTTTAAATTAAAATTCAGTGGTCGGGTAAAGTGGTGCAATGTGACAGTGGATGCAACTTATGTTTGTGATATAACATGTTTTTTTACCTGTGATTTTTAAGTGAAATATGAAATTTAGTAAAATTTTAAGTTTTTTGAGCTATTGAAAAATCATATTTAACTTAAATACCTATATAAGCTAAATATGGTTTTGCACAAACTGGAAAAAACTTAAGATATTAAGTACTACTTTTCATTCAAATAAAAAAAATTATTAACACTTCTTGGGTATAAGAATACACCTAAGTAGTGTTAATAATTTTTTTAAATTTTATGCCAAAGCCTATTTGTATTCATATCTAATAGTTTGTAAGTAATATAAAATATACTTTATTTTACATTACATGCTGTGTTTAATATTAAAACACCCACTATTTTTACACCAAATTGAGCATTTTCTACTCTTCAATGGAGTTCTTTTACCAATATTGCGTGTTGCTTTTACCCCTAAGAGTGTATTATATTTGATGATTTTTACACTGTTACGAGTTTTTTGTACGAATAGTGCGTGTAGATTTTTAACCAATTAAAAAGGGTAAAATTTACCAAATTGTATGTGGTTAGATATACCATTTCTAGTGTGGACCTATATAGACCACTTTTGGTGTTGTTTTTTACCAGAAATTTTTTACTGTGTATTAAAATAAATTTTAGCTGGTGTAAATTGAACTCCTTTTCAGTGTTAAATATTATGTGTTTGTGGTCAAATTAAATCATACTACACAGAAAAAAGGAAAATTAAAGGAAACAGGAAGTTACTAGTATATTACCAGTGGTATTATTCCAGAAAATGGAACCTTTATCTCGCTAGAGATAATGTTTTTAGTTCGTTCCACTAACTTAAAATACTTCAAGTATTGACAGCTGTTTCCACCTATTTAAGGTCTAGTATCGAACAACTTGTAGTGTCACACCAATGCAAAGGACAACCTGAGCTTATATATTCTTCATGTAAGTCAACAGAGGCGAGATTTAAGAACATCACGTGATCCACAAAAAAATAAATACTTATGGGTCAACTAAATTAATATAGTTAAATGAACTATTCCTTTTTTTTCTGTGTAGGTGCACTTCTCAAATATTTTTAGATAAACACCGTTTTGGTGTTTATTTTCAACCATAATTCATGGTGTTATATTAACACCTTGGTGTTGGATTTTGACACCATTTTAGGATTACTCTTTACACCACAGATATTTTAAACAGTGTAAGAAACAGATATTTTAAATTCACCCTATTAAAAATATCTGTTTGGCATACAAATTAAATCTAGTTTTTAATGAAAAAAACAATTAAAAGAAGTAAATATTTTAAATTAAATATATTAAAAATATCAGTTTGGCATAAAAATTAGATCTAGTTTTTAAAATATATGTATAAATAAAAAATATCACATGAACATGTTTAATCTGCGAATTAAAATTATCATAGCAGATATTTAAAAGTTAGATTTCATTTTTATGCCAAACTGATATTTTTAATTTAGTGAATTTAAAATATCTGTTTTTTATATTTGTATTTTTTGTCAAACACATATTTTTAATTTGCTTGATTAAAAATTAGATTTAATTTTTATGCCAAACTGATATTTTTAATTTATTGAATTTAAAATATTTTCTTCTTATATTTGTATTTTTTTGGTAAACACATATTTTTAATTCGCTTAATTAAAAATATCATAGGAGAAATTTTTAAATGTTTTAAAAATATCATAGGAGATATTTTTAATTCGATTTAAATTTTATTTTATTAAATAAGCTGATATTTTTAATTCAATGTGATATTTTTAATTCCGACTGAAAGTTTGGACATCCCTGGCATTACAAAATAACTTTATCGCTAGATGGCGGCACAATCATTGAGATCCACGACATACGTGAGTCCGATGTCGCAGTGCGACAGTCGCACTGACCCAGCGTGTGCAGAACAAGGACAGTGCGCGTTAGTTTGTTGTTGGAGTGGGTCGGTTTTTATATCGTTTGGAATAACAGGGGTATCCAAACTCTCAACCAGTCGGAATTAAAAATATCACATTGAATTAAAAATATCTGCTTATTTAATAAAATAAAAATTAAATCGAATTCAAAGTACCTGCTGTGAAATTTTTAATACATTTAAAAAATTGTCATAAGATATTTTTAATGAAGCGAATTAAAAATATGTGTTGAGCAAAAAAATACAAATATTAGAAGCAAATATTTTAAATTAACTAAATTAAAAATATCAGTTTAGCATAAAAATTAAATCTAATTTTTAATTTAGCGAATTAAAAATATGTGTTGAGCAATAAAATAAAAATATAAGAAACAGATAATTTAAATTCGCTAAAATAAAAATATCAGTTTGGCATAAAAATTAAATCTAATTTTAAAATATCTGCTATGATATTATTAATTCGCAGAATAAAAATTCTTGTGTGATATTTTGTATCTAATTAAAAATATGACTTTATTGTTAACACATAAAAATAATTACTGAATAAAAAATAAAACGGCGCCCCATATAACTGCAATAAAACAACTCTTCAGCAAGAACAATTTTAATTAAATTGGAAAAATTATAATTATAGGTGAAATAAACATATTTGTTAAATAGAACCGTTTGCCTTTTGATTTAAATCATAAAAAATTGTTGTTGTGATAAACGGAAGGAGAGAACTTCTTGATCACGAATGACGTAGAAGATATGGGTAAATACGTTATTGTGACATTGCGACAAACAAAAATTTTAACTTCAAGAAGATTTACCATAACCAATGATGGCTGCAGCTTCCAGCCCTGCATGCTGTATAGAAAATACGAAAATTTTCGCCCGTCTAGATTAATTTTTTTTTCAAGACACCGTAATGGAAAGTGCATTTTCCTTAACACTGGTCATCACACTATTAGTGCTATCCTAAAAAAAACTACCATGGTAAATTTTCTTTAATTATAGTTTATTTATTTAAGTTATAAGAAGAAATAAAAAACCATTGGAGAATTGATCGGGTATTATCCATGCATATTCATCCGGAAACTCTTTGGTAAATGTATCTATTATTTGGAATATTAAACCCATACGGAAGTGGAAACATATTGCGAGTAGGATTGGGTTTAGGAATTATTCTCCAACCAGTTCCTGTTTTCGTATACCATACAGTTTCTGTATCCCTTGAATATCGTCTCTTTGCAATTTGGTAAGGGAAGTACTTTTAGGCCACATCACTGATCCAGGCACATTGGTGTGGTCGAGTCCAAGTACGTGACCGATTTCGTGCAAAGCCGTTTCTAAGAAGCTTGGGCCTCCACCATTAAAACTCCACTTTTCCTCGTCGTCAAAGTGAATAATTCCACCATCGAGGATATATTCTAGCCACTATTCATAAAACAATAAGAAAAAATACATTCCTACACTAAAAGAACAGTTTATTTACAATTAATGATGTTGTTTAACAATAAATAAAGGATTTATTCGATAATGGCGGAATAAATATTTATTTTTTAATAACAAATAATTATTTATCTTTATCTGTGAAAAATAAAATTGCATTAAAAACAACCAAAGTTTGGTTACTAGATTCTGTCAAAAAAAATCGGGACATTTGGTGTGAATTAACCTTAATTAAAAAAATGACACAATCAACAATAATTAAGTAACATCAAACTTACAATTTGTATTGTATCATTATGTCAATTTTGTAATTAAGATAAATTCATACAAAATGTCCCGATTTTTTTTGACATAATCTGGTAACCCTAAACCAAACCCTTATTTATTATAAATATGCCATTTTATTAAGTAGTTAATAACATATTAAAAATTAACAAACAGATATTTAAAAAAAACAAATTATTATTTAAAGTGACAAACATATCATTTATTATAAATAAACTACATTAATATATTTAATTTTAATTTTGAGTTATTTTTTATAAATTAGTTTAGGTATTTATAATTAACAAATTTTATTATTAATAATTAATAATTAGCATATAACTGTATTTTTTAAAAATATGTTTATATTTGCAATAAATATGGCATATCCTTGTCAATTTCACAAAGGGACGTATTTATAATTTTACAAGAGAGCATGTATATACCTATAAGTATATTGTTAAACCAAATATTGCAGTAATTTTCAAAATGCTCTTCTGTAAAATTATAAAAATGGGATTGTGAGATTGACGACTATAGGTATGCTAAATTTATTGTAAATATATACATATTTAATACAAATACAGTTCTGTCTTAATTATTTACTATTAATCATAAAATTTGTTGACCTGAATATTGCAAAAATCTTCTTATAAATTATAAATCACTTTTTGAGGTTGACGACGAATGTGCTTCAGTTTGGGTGATTTTTAAAATAAAATACTTGTGATTTTATTGAGAAAGCGAAGTATATATTTATATATTTTATAAAATCCAAAATTTTAAAACTTGTTATAATTATATTCATAGACCTATTATTTAAAAAACATAAATAAACTTAAAAAAATAAAGATATAGTATAATAATAATAATATAACCTTTAAAATTATATTCATAGCATCGTCACAGGCGATATCTGCTAATACTATCTACTCCATTAATTGAAAAAATTTGATAATAATAAATATAACCTGATTTTCTTTAAAGTCATCTGATTAATAATTAACAAGTGAATTTATAGTAAATATACTTATTATTAATGCATCCCATGGGATAGTCAACACGTGTAAACATCTTGAAACAAACTGCGACAAAATTTAGCCAATACTTAACGAAATTACAAGGCATCACACTGTTCAAAATCAAGCCTTTTGAAATACCTAATCAGAATTAGTTAAGGAAAAATAAGGTAATATGCTTAAACGAGTAAAGCAATTTACCTTCTCGTTTATTAGGCAGAAACGAATGCCTTAGTTCTATGGTGTATTCACTAACTTCTAGATAAATATTCATACTTTACTTAATAAACTTGTCAAATTTAAAAAGATAGGCAGATTACCAAAATATTTAGTCAAAATCTCAATTACTTTTAGGTACGACAATTTTGCTTTTAATTTAGGTAATTTTTCTAAATTATTATGGAAAATTATTGAACTAATTTAGGTCAATTCCTTTAAATATTAGTGACTTACTTGCAATCGGCTACGTTTGCTAATACCGACGTTTTACGATAAATATTCGCGCCTATATTATCCACCACGCAATCGGCCAAAATGCCAAAATCAACGAAAGCTTAAAGACCGCGTTGTGTGCTATTGATATAACAACATAGTTAACAATTATTGTGCTATAAGTGAACATTTTGTAGTGCTATAGTTAAGTAATCCAAACTAAATGGAATTTCCCATTGACCCCAATTTATTTTTAAATAATCCCAACCCTGCAGGGGACATGTAGTACCGGAACCGCCGTTGTTAATTCGCCTAGGACATAAAGATAAAGGACTCCTAACTTGGAAGAAAATTCCTATGCTAGGATTTTCACTAAAAATATATATATAATTTGCCTGAAAACTTAGCTAAACTCTACCTAAAAATTTAAGCAAATTGCTTTAGAAACAGGAAATTTATTATTTTATTCTCAGGCAATATCCCTTACGATCGTACGATCTAAGGTGTATCATCTTTGAAACCTAAGTAATTTTGCTTAATTAATTGTATCATTTTCTTTATAAATATCAGCTAAAGAATTCACTAATTTAAAAGGGGAATATTCCTCTGAATTCATTTTAAGCAGTTTGCCTTAAAAAATCAATGGTCCTATATAGTCTAATATTTTAGGTAAAAATTAGCTAAAATTTTGAACAGTGCAATTATTGTTTTTTTTAATAACCCACAAACTTACCTTTAAAAGTATTAGCCAGATCTTCCAAACCGTATAACAGTTTAGAATCTATTATGTCAATGTCAGCAACCATGTTTAATGACCTATTTTTGTTTTGTTAGCATTCAACACCATAGAAAAATATGATTATGTACTTACACAATCACTGCAACAGTTTATACGCAATACAAATTTCCTTATTATATGAAAAATGATGCAAAAGCACAAACAGAGCACAAACCACCACCACCTTTATCAACAAAGATGTAAACCACCCACTACGTGACATTTTAAAGTGACATGAATCGTCCAAGGTAAAACGACGCGTTACGATATTTCATTTGTTAATTATTAATATATCATATTTCTTACAAACAATATGATTTAATAGTTAGAAAATGTGAAACTTTGAACTAAATACGAATATAACGTATATTTACAATAAATTAATAAACGATTTTATTTGACACAAATTTAGTATATTAATAAGAAATAAATTCGACCCAAATAAATAATTAAAGTAAATAAAATTGATTTACAGCAAATTTGCTGTATTTTTTATAAATAAAAACGTCTCAAATAAATATTTATTAATTATTAGCCCTAGTATTTCTTTCAGTGTACTTTTTATCTGTAAAATATAACTTACTTCAGAATGGGCTAATACACCACCGGGACCATCAAAAGGGTCTCCATCACCATGATCTCTTCTTTCAAATCTAATGTCTATGTCGGCATTTTGACTTTTTGAATTTGTAAAAGTAAAATCAGTGTACTTCGACCATTCCGCGAAAGCCTTCTCTATATCACGTTCCACTAAGTTTCTGTCTAAATGATATGAATATTTTGAAATTTTGTAGGTTAGATCTCGTTTTTTCCACAATGATTCTAAAATAATGTGTTTATTTATTTAACAAATTATAAAAATAGTAAATACTCACGGTCCATAAAAGTATATCTTTTGTGTCTTGTTTGTTTACTTGTATTGGGGTCTTTTACCCCACACCGTGGCAAATCCAAGGCTAGAAGAGTTTCTGTATTTGCAATTCCTAAAAATATCAATTTTTAGTAGGTACAATCTAAAGCAATGTTTAATTTATTATATGATGTCGATAGATTGGATTGTTTAAAATAAAAAATAAACTTATTCAATAAATTAAACATACCTGTTGGATTTAGCCCATAGAACCTTTGAAAGCGTTTTAATGCTTTACTGTAATTTTTTTCATCCCTAAGTCTAGAAAATTTGTTTGAGCTAATTGGCGTACTATCCAAGTACCCATATTTTTGTAAAAAAATCTAAAATATTTTTTTTATTTTAAAATATATATTGATAAGAACAGTACCGTCTTGATGCTCGAAGAGGTCGGATGCGTCAAGATCCTAAGTGGCGTATACGATACAAACGTAAAATACCAAAAACGAAACAAAGTATCCGGAAATGTCGGTGATCGTTAATGAATAATAAATAATAAATAAATACATAAATAAACAAGAAGTGCGAAAATTGTGAGATAACGCCGTAAAAGTGTGCAAGTGAATAAGTGCCTAATTGAGGCTGGGCAGCAACGATAAGTCAACCGGCGCACCTGGATCGGAGCGTTCCAAAAACGTCCTTTTTCTATGCAAAAACCTACAGGAGAAGGACTCCCCGCGAAAGACAAAGCATCAGGTTTATAGCCTAATAACAGGGGCGTGCTGGGCCGCCGGGACACCGGGCGAATGCCCGGTGGCCTGCACCACTTGGTGGCCTGCTGGACTGCTTCTCTTCCCTTTTACAATGACAAATTTTAACAAAGCTTGGGCATAATTAATCATTAATTATTAATGTATACTACGAACAACGAAATTACACATTAAAGAACATTGAATTTGACAATCTGGCTTTATTACAATTTATAGCAAATTTTATTCATAATTTCATTGACAGATGCAAATATTGTTTAAAAACATATGCGTTTGCTTTAAAACTGTTAAATCTTATATTTAAAAACATTTGCGTTTACTTTAGAACTTAAAACGACTATTTTTATTTCTTACATGCCTGCATTTATTATACAGAACCTACCATAAACCAAAAAAAAACATATGAGAACTACTACCTATTTCGGGGAATTTAAATTAACGCGGCAAATACCTAAATCAAAGATTGCTCACGTGGTGCGCAAAGCAGGTGATTTTTGTTCGCAATGCGAACTTCGCATTCTAAAGAGATTGACTTTTTTTTTGTAAAGATTGTGGGTATAATATATAAAAAACAAATCTATAACCGCGTTTCAAATCGGGTATGTGCCTTTAGTGTTCGGTTATAATTATAATATTATAATAATTAATGTCATTAAAATTTATAAAAAATCGTTTAAGAAGTACACTAAGTGACGCAAATTTGGAAGCTTTCATACTTAGACAGTGACATAATAGTTGATAAACTACCTGAAAAAAGTTCCTTGTTGCGAAGAGAGTCTCGGACGTTTTATCAGCCGAGGTGTCATCGTAATAATATTAATAATTATAGGTATTACATTTTTTACTAGCTATAGAAAGTATATGAAACTGGCTTGAGTCTGGACTGATCTACTATCCAGTCCAGGCCTGCATTGGACTGCCAGCACGCCCCTGCCTAATAATCAAGCTAAGTAATTCTTCTAATTGCATGTCTTACCGTATAATCGTTAAATGTTTATATAAGCATTTCACAAAGTTGCAAAAAAATCTAAGAAATCTATTCGTCTTAAAAATTAAATTTAAAAAATAATAAGAACATTTCCGTAACTGTTAAATAAACAACCTATTCTCTCATAATAGACAAACGTAAACAACCAGCGTAAAAGGCGTAAGCAAATAAACCAATTCAAGCAAGAAGACAAAAATTTATCATAAATAAATTTAGGGTCACACTCATAAATCAAGCCAGGCTAATACACGGAATTCAAGAGCCAAGCAGGCCATAAAGACGCATTCCACTATGCACTACAGGGCCGGCTCTATTTTGAAGATCGATTTACATAAAGTGATTAATTAATTAATTAATAAATTAATTGATTGATTGATATTGATATAATCATATTGGTATTGGTATTGATGGTAATATTGTTGGTATAAGTGTTGATGTTGATATTGGCATTATAGATATTGATATTAGTATTAATATTGATTGATTAATTGGTTGATACTGATATTAACGTTAATATTGATTAATTGATTGATTGGTTGATGTTGGTATTGATTATTTGTATTATTTGGTATTAGTATTGGTATTGACTAATTGAAATTTATATTGAATTTATATAGATACTAATTTAACAGGAAACCAGGCAACAATTGATCATTGCAGAGGGCAGCGTGCGTGTGTGAAGGGAAATCAAGTGGGTGCGTCGCAATATTATATTATTGTATTATATATATTATATAATATACACATAAGCTCACGCAAGCAAAGCTTGGAGGATGGAGAAAGTAAATGGGCAAAGCCCCCACGCGAAATGAAGTGGTAGGCCATCTATTGAGGCATGCGTTGCACGCCTGAAATAGGGGCCGGGTTTCAAATTGATGCGATACACCACAGGGCCGGCTTTATCTATTTTGTATATTAATATTTTTATTTTTAAATTAATTTGAAAAAAAATAAGTAAGAAGGCAAAGATATAAATAAATGAAAACGGTATGAACACTAATATAGCAATAAAATAAATAAAGAATATACAAGGTTGGTAGCCGGAGTAAGCAAAAAAAACTAACATACCCACCCCCATTCAGGAATACCAAATGAATGGGGTTATTACTAAAGCCCTGGTTTAGGAGGATTCCGGATTGTACTTAGTTTTGGGTCAGTTCAATGTCCTCCAAAAGCCCTTCCTAAACTGGACGTATGGCCCGACCCGGCTGACAAAAATCCCGGGAGCTGCCTTAACCTTTGACACTGTCATCCACGAACTCCTAGGGTGGATCTACCAGCCGGCGTAAAAACTTCGGATCCAACAAACACAGGTAATGCTGTGATTTGGCGGGATACGCAGGAGAACGGAAAGGGGGTAATATAACCTCGGGAGATCAGTGGATGACAATATATCTGGGGCTTGCCATACGTTCCCATACTCATACTCATACTCATACTCAAAATATATATTGATAAGAACAATTTTAAACAATAAAAACTCACCAAAGATTTATCAACTGAAGCGCTAAAGGCAACTGAAGAAAAGCACATAACACAACTCACTAAAATTATTAATTTCATTTTTAACTTTTATTATAATCTTATTATAGATACTTAATTATAAAATTAAAACTGAATGTGATGTTTAAGCATAATCGGGCTTTTATATCAAAAAAATTAAATGACGCAAGTAATCCAAATATTTTCTTTATAAAAATTACCACAAAAATGGATGTGGGCAATAGAAATTTAAATATCTATAGATTATTATTGCATTGTTTAATTAATTTTCCTTATAAAATAATAAATAATTTAAATTAAATTAAAATAGTACATTTTTTTATAAGGAGCTAAAGTGTCACTTTTTGTGGCGAGTCTATAGGGCAAATACAGACAAACCACAAAAAGTCACTTTACTCCCCATAAAATATAATATTTTTTTTAAACGTCTACTTTATAAAATACTCAAATTTCCATAAAAACTTTAAATTAATGTATCAAAACTTATTTGCATTTAAAATATCCTTGCAGCAGACTAAATTACCTTAAGAATCAAAGTAATTAATCCTGAAAGGGTTTTATTTTGTTTACTAAAATTGGACGAATTTTGTGTGAAATAGTTAATGGCAGAGTGGTAATATTTTAAACTTAACGCAATATATAAAGCTGATCATACAAAATATTTAAATGCAAACTATTCAGGTAAAAATTTAACAACGGGTGAAACTTTTCTAACAAAATATAACGAAATACTTCTACATAATATGAGCACCAACAATCAATTTATTGTTTTATCCAACACATGACAGTTATGACTGTCATTATTAATTTCATTTTAGACAAGAAAACTATCAAATAATACACTAGTGTGTTACAATCCATAACTCACTAGTGAGTTATGGATTATAATTATGAAGTAGTATTCTATTTATTTATTACTATTACAAGCAGAATTCACGTTGATATTGAAATTAAAGGAAAACGCTAACGGTTTATTCGAATTTGAAGTCATTGTAAAATTCGTTGGTTCATTGGAACCAGACGCTCCCATATCGGTACAGCTACTGATAGTGCTGGAAGACGCCGACGCATTAGAACCTTGTATTTTTTCTGCAATTTGTGTTTTGTTTTGCACCGATTGTTATAGGTATCCTTCTGCTACCGTCGAGGACTTCCATCCTCCGTGACGCTTCAAAGTAGTCATGTTAGCCCCTGCATTAGCCAAAAGAGTGGCCGAAGACCTTCTCAGGCAGTGACCGGTGTAGAGCGCTGGTTCCTCCAATTTCAAAAACATTGCAATTCTTGAAGGTATCTTCGACAACATATTTATTCCCACACACTGGCTGGTACACCTCCCATTTTTGTAAAAATCAAAAAAGCGGCTGGAACTAGTATTATTTGGTCTCAAAGACATGTATTTTTTACACAAATTGATCGGTTTGACTGGAAATCCTTCTTTAAGTATGGTGAAACTTCTCAATTTCTTGGTTTAGTGTCTGGCAAAACTACGTGAAAATATTTCCTTTTGTCTTGAATATTTTCTATTTTCAAATTGACCAATTCATCGCATCTACAAGCAGCTAATCCCGTTTATCAAAGCCACTTTCATCAACAGGGAGCTTCGTTCAAAAACTTCTCTATTTCAGGTCGTTCTAATGTCTTGGACTTCTTTGGTTTGTATCCCTGTGATTTGCTTTTCAAAAAGCTCGTTAGTTTGCCATATTTTAAAATGTCGATTTTTTTATAAAGGTGAATAGTCGAGCGAAGCATCGAGTATTTGGTCCATAGCGACGATGGGGCTAATTTTTTTTGCAAATGTAAAAAATAAGCCAATAGAACATTTTCATCGATACCTTTTATCTTCCGTGAATTCATCCAAGACTCAAACATTTTGAACTCCTTGTCGTAAGCAACTCGGGACTTTTCTGGCAAAATCTGAATCGCTGCTTCTTCTGCTTCCGTAAGAATATCCTCAGGAACGTAATTTTCATCGGTTTCCTCCAATTTCTATTCGTTTTTTTTTAAGTCTGCGAGCTTTAATATATTTTGAAATATTAAAGAATAATAATTTTTAATAATTTTTTATTAACTATATAATAAAAGAAAGACATTTTAAAGCATATTAAAGAGTTTATTAACTTAGTTACATTACATTACATCCAAATCCTCATCTAAATCGTTATCGGCATATTTGTCGAAAACTCAGGAAAAATATTCTTTCAACAATATATTTTCATCCAAATATTCATCAAAATTTTCATCCGAATATTCATCAAAATTATCATCCGAATATTCATGAAAATTTTCATTCAAGCCATACAGTTCTTGTATCGCTTGGATATCGTAGCTCTGCAATTCAGAAAATGATATATCCGTTGTGGGTCGCATCACTGATCTCTCCTCATTGGTGTGATCAAGTCCAAGGATGTGACCGATTTCGTGCAAAGCCGTTTCGAAGAATTCGTCTTCATCATTAAAACTCCATTCTTCCTCATCATCAAAATGAATCCATCCCATACCATCCTCAATCACCTGTAAGTTTATTACTAAGATTATGCCAAAATTAAAAATCACTTACTGCAGCATGAGCTAAAACACCATCAGGCCCATCAAAAGGATTCCCATCATCATGATCTTTTCTTTCAAACTTGATATCTATATCGGCATTTTGACTCTCTGAATTTGTAAAAGTAAAATCAGTGTACTTTGACCATTCCGCGAAAGCCCTCTGTATATCACGTTCTACTAAGTTTTTGTCTAAATGATAGGAATATTGTGAAATTGTGTAGGTAAGGTCTCGTTTTGTCCAGATGGGTTCTAAAATAATTCAGGAATATTTCTTAAATAAATAAATATGATTAAAAACTTACGGTATAGATAAACATATCTTCCTTCTTCATTTGCATTTTGATCTTCTACCGAAGGCAGTGAGAAATCCATTGCTAGGGTTTCTTCATCTTCCACTTCTGAAAATGATTATGATTAAAGTTTTACTGAATACAATGATGGTACAATAAAATATATATGTAAAATAAACTAAACATACCTGTAATATAAAATCGTTGAGGGCTTTTTAAAGCCTCGGTGTAATTTTCATTCCTAATTTCAGAAAGCGTATCATCCAAGTATCCATACTTTTGCAAAAAATCGAAAATTTTAGAAAATATTAAAAGACGTATTACAAAAACCTTACCTCCATGTAACCAATGGGAGCACTTAAAATAAAGTTTACAAATAACAAAATGGCCAATGAAACAAAAATTTCTGAATTCATGTTTGAGCTTGTTATTACAAGCAGAGACACCCTTTGACCAAAAAACAGTCAAGATTTAGTATTTATATGAAATTATTGTCTACTAAAATAGATAAAATAAAAAAAATGCATCCCTGATAATATAAATAGTTTTTTTGAAACAAAACAATTAATTAATTGATTATCATAAATTTTAAATAATTCATGACTCATTTTGAGTAAATTCAACATCTATCAGATATGATACCATATCAGATATCAGATATGATTTCAAAGAATATTTATTATAAATTAAAAAAATATAAAATAATAATTTTTGTAAAAATGTTTGGGGTCACCCTGGACTTGAATCAAGTTTAATAGACCAGGGTCGATAATTTTTGAAACCAAAAAAAATAACAGTAGGATGAAACCCATTGGAAAAGGAGGGGAATATAATAAAAATGAAAGGAAAAATAAATTACGGGCGATCTGAGTTCGGGAAGTGGGAGGGGGGGGGGGTTTAAGGGTAAAAAATGGTTTATCTCGATTTCCGGCAAAACTACAAGTCCTATGGAAAAAAGTTAAATGGCAAAGTTGTAGGTAATAAAAAGATCTACAACTTTTGTAATTACAATTTTTTTACATAACCTCAAAATTTATGTGAAAAATTCAAAAAACCAAGTTTTTGGTTTTTTATTTTTATCTTTTTCAAAAAAAAAAAAATTTTTCCACGAAATTTTGTGAAAACTTATCTTTTTATGTCCCAAATACACTGTAATTTATTTGATTTGAAATATTTATTATTTCGCCTTATTTTGACTTAATATCAAAAAAGCACCCTAATTTTCAATCGAAAATTCTCGCGTCAAAATATCAGCTTTTTTCGAAAAGTCGGTGTGCTTTTTGTTCGTTGAAACCTCTACTTTCTGATGGTGTAAAAAAATATACATTACTATGGTAAATGTTCTCAGAAAATGCAAAAAATATTATAATGAATAACGAAAAAAACTCGAATTCGAAAATTTATTTTAATCATTACGTACAATTTCATCAAAAAAATGTGATTGTTGCAATTTTTTTTAGTTAAAAAGTTTATTTATTAGATTCTAATAACATTTATGTCAGAAAATCTCATAAAATATAAAAATACATGTAAATCATACTATTGAATTTAGATACTTCATTCTGATTACGTTATTCATTATAATATGTTTTGTATTTTCTGAGAACATTTACCATAGTAATGTATATTTTTTTTACACCATCAGAAAGTAGAGAGTTCATCGAACAAAAAGCACACCGACTTTTTGAAAAAAGCTGATATTTTGACGCGAGAATTTTCGATTGTAAATTAGGGTGCTTTTTTGATATTAAGTCAAAATAAGACGAAATAATAAATATTTCAAATCAAATAAATTACAGTGTATTTGGAACATAAAAAGGTAAGTTTTCACCAAATTTCGTGGAAAAAAATTTATTTTTGAAAAAGATAAAAATAAAAAACCAAAAACTTGGTTTTTTGAATTTTTCACATAAATTTTGAGGTTATGTGAAGAAATTGTAAATACAAAAGTTGTAGATCTTTTTATTACCTACAACTTTGACATTTAACTTTTTTCCATAGGACTTGTGGTTTTGCTGGAAATCGAGATAAACCATTTTTTACCCTTAAACCCCCCCCCTCCCACTTCCCGAACTCAGATCACCCGTAATTTATTTTTCCTTTAATTTTTATTATATTCCCCTCCTTTTCCAATGGGTTTCATCCTACTGTTATTTTTTTTCTCTTTTTACCATTTTTAAAGGCTTCTGCACTGGTCTATAACCCAAAAGTGTCCAACCGGGCGGCAATTTCTATACGTTTGTCTACTTTGGGTTGCCGCCTTTCAGGCAAATTAATTCTTTTGGTTGGACACTGTCTAACATTATCGTTTATTATCACCAACGATGATGGATGCAGCTTCAAGTACCTCATTTTCTATAAAAAAAATACGTTTTGGGCTTTCTAGATTAGAAATCTACGATTTTTTAACACACCTAAACCTTGGCCATCACACTATAAGCGATATCCCAAAGAAAATTGCGATTATTTAGGTTTAAAAGTTTAATTTACATTATATAAGGAATTGAAGATGTTTACAATTAATGAAAACAACCTTGTTAATGTTTGTTTTAAATTATATTTTTTTATTCAACACGGAAAGAAATGTATAGTAAATTTTAGATAGTAAAAAAATATAGTAAAATTTACTGGTAATACAAAATACTATTTTTTATTATACAATTTTAGTAAAGATTACAACACCAAATTTACTAAATCATAAATGTATAATATATATTGTAATTTGTTCGTATAGTAAATTGATTTTACTATCTACAAATAGTAATATTTACTATATGATTTAATCAAATGTAAGGTGTACATCTAATATTATAATATATTACACATTAATAAAAAATATAGTAAAAATAAAGATACTTTTATGTTTAAGGTAAATAAACAATATATTTAAATATAATATACAATATAGTAACTCATGACATTTTAAACATTTAATTTTTTTAGTTTCTTCAATAAACTTTCTTGACCCATTACTGGTAATACTTATAAGAAAGAATTGAACCTACTTGGTTGCATGGTATGTACCGATTGCGGCAAAGGCCACGTCGCGACGCGTCGTTAGACGGTGTGGATCACGTGATGTTCTTACATCTCGCCTCTGTTGGCTTACCAACCATGTTATATAAGCTCAGGTATTTCTTTGTTTTGGGTGTGTTCCACTACTACAAGTTGCTCGACAGTGTCGTGTCGACACTGATGATACCCAATATAGGTCAAAACACCTGTCTGTGGGTATTTGAAGTTGATGGAACGCACTCAAAACAAAAAACTTTGGCGAGGTGTAGGTTCAATTCTTTCTCATAACATTTTTGTATGTTAAAAAGTACAATAAATATGTTACAATTTTTAATTGTTAACATATAAAAATATTCGATTTTAAAATATTTTATATTTAAAATGGCAACATAATGTTTTAAAATTTACTATACTTATTAGTAATGGAAAAAATCTAATTATAATAAGAAAATTACTAAATATGCATAGTATCTGGCAATATACAAGATAGTTGTCCCAAATAGTAATATAAATTATAGTAAAGGGTATTATAATAATTATAATAGTTCCTAAACCTATAACTTCACGGAGAGAAAAGTATAATGCTGATTACCATAATTATTATGGTAATCAGCATTATACTTTTCTCTCCGTGAAGTTATAGGTTTAGGAACTATTCTTATCATTAAACCACCATTCTTCCTTGACGTCAAAGTGAATAATTTCACGATAATGAACTTAGAACAAAGAATTATAACGAACCATTTGATATATTTTAAACAATAAGAAAGAAAGATATTCCTATCGTTTTTATCGGAAATAATACCACTAGTGGTAAAATATTACCGATGAGATTTTTATACGAACGTTTTTTCTTGGAAATTTCGCATTCATTTTTCATTTATTTTTAAGACCACAACCCGCTAGGCAAGTGGTTTTAAATTTATGCTACGAGCAAAATTTCCAAGGAAAAATCTTGAGTATTCGGCAGGACTTTCTCGAATATTAAGAATTAACTGCCGATTCAATTTCTGTATGGTTTTTTTGACCAAAACGCATATTTTTTAACATATTTGTTCTAAAATTAGAAACATCAACATTGACAATTATTTTTCGCATAGCAAAAGTGACTTAGGAAATATAACACACGAGTGGCATACAATGTTTTATCCAATTAGTGGGAGAAATCTTTTTTTTATGAGATGATAATTAATAAGCTTTGTGATCAAATCAAAGCTACTTGCATCTTGATACCCCATAAATGTCAGAATGACTTAACAGTGACTTTTTTACATTTTCCTTACGGAAGCGGAAGAAGCAGCGATGCAGATTTTGCCAGAAAAGTCCCGAGATGCTTTCGACAAGGAGTTCAAAATGTTTGAGTCTTGGATGAATTCACTGAAGATAAAAGGTATCGATGAAAATGTTCTATTGGCTTATTTTTTACATTTGCAAAAAAAATTAGCCCCATCGTCGCTAAGGACCAAATACTCGATGCTTCGCTCGACTATTCATCTTTATAAAAAAATCGACATTTCAAAATATGGCAAACTAACGAGCTTTTTGAAAAGCAAATCACAGGTACCTATACAAACCAAAGAAGTCCAAGACATTAGAACGACCTGAAATAGAGAAGTTTTTGAACGAAGCTCCCTGTTGATGAAAGTGGCTTTGATAATGGGGATTAGCGGTGCTTGTAGATGCGATGAATTGGTCAATTTGAAAATAGAAAATATTCAAGACAAAAGGAAATATTTTCACCTAGTTTTGCCAGACACTAAAACCAAGAAATTGAGAAGTTTCACCATACTTAAAGAAGGATTTCCAGTCAACCCGATCAATTTGTGTAAAAAATAGATGTCTTTGAGACCAAAGAATACTAGTTCCAGCCGCTTTTTTGTTTTTTACAAAAATGGGAGGTGTACCAACCAGTGTGTGGGAATAAATACGTTGTCGAAGATACCTTCAAGAATTGCAATGTTTTTGAAATTGGAGGAACCAGCGCTCTACACCGGTCACTGCCTGAAAAGGTCTTCGGCGACTCTTTTGGCCAATGCAGGGGCTAACATGACTACTTTGAAGCGTCACGGAGGATGGAAGTCCTCGACGGTAGCAGAAGGATACCTATAGAAGAATCAGTGCATAACGAAATACAAATTGCAGGAAAAATACAAGGTTCTAATGCGTCGGCGTCTTCCAGCACTAACAGCAGCTGTACCGATATGGGAGCGTCTGGTTCCAATGAACCAACGAATTTTACAATGACTTCAAATTCGAATAAACTGTAAGCGTTTCCTTTAATATCAATATCAACGTGAATTCTGCTTGTAATAGTAATAAATAAATAGAATACTACTTTATAATTATAATCCATAACTCACTAGTGAGTTATGGATTGTAACACACTAGTGTATTATTTGATAGTTTTCTTGTCTAAAATGAAATTAATAATAACAGTCATAACTGTCATGTGTTGGATAAAACAATAAATTGATTGTTGGCGCTCAAATTATGTAGAAGTATTTCATTATATTTTGTTAAAAAATTTTCACCTAAATAGTTTTCATTTAAATATTTTGTATGGTCAGCGTTATATATGGCGTTAAGTTTAAAATATTACCAATTCGTCCCATTTTAGTAAACAAAATAAAACCCTTTCAGAATTAATTACTTTGATTCTAAGGTAATTTAGTCTGCTGCAAGGATATTTTAAATGCAAATAAGTTTTAATACATTAATTTAAAGTTTTTATGAAAATTTAAATATTTTATATAGTCGACGTTTAAAAAAAAATATTATATTTTATGGGGAGTAAAGTGACTTTTTGTGGTTCGTCTGTATTTGCCATATAGACTCGCCACAAAAAGTGACACTTGAGCTCCATATAAAAAAATTTACTATTTTAATTTAATTTAAATTTGTTATTATTTTATAAGGAAACAATGCAATAATAATCTATAGATATTTAAATTTCTATTGCCCACATCCATTTTTGTGGTAATTTTTAGGTATAAGGAAAATATTTGGATTACTTGCGTCATTTAATTTTTTTGATATAAAAGCCCGATTATGCTTAAACATCACATTCAGTTTTAATTTTATAATTAAGTATCTATAATAAGAATATAATAAAAGTTAAAAATGAAATTAATAATTTTAGTGAGTTGTGTTGTTATGTGCTGTAAGGGTCCTGTAGTATATAAACTTTTAAATTCGAATTTGGCGCTATTTTAACCAAAGAAAATTTAAATAATCCACTAAAAATAATATTATAGTTTTAAGATATTTTATGTTTTAAAACCCTATTGAGTTTTAAAGTTTCACTTCTTTGTATCTCAACGTAGAAATATTATGAAGACTGTTTATGTTGGACATTCTTGCTTAAGTGGCTGAGATGTTTAAAAGCGAGATTAGGAAATATCATACACAGAGGGTTTTTGCTCGCCCTTCGAGATACTCCTGTTAAAACGTTTGTGAAATTTATTATAATATAGTTATAGTTTTTGTGATTGTTACCGATTTTCTGCTATAACTACTTAGGTATGTACACTTTGAAAAATTGTAAATTTGCTAGTAATGATAAACAACTCCTCGTTTTTTTGCTTATAATTTGCTTATAATTTTGAACAATATTATTTAATTCGCATTTTTGGTCTATGACGTTTATCATTGCTAGTTTATTGGGTCCTAATCATTTTAATATGTGTAAATAGCGAGTGATTTTTGGTAATGATTTTTATTGTATCACTATTTCATTATTTTGGTTTAATATCTTGATATCGCGCATACACTGAGTTTTAATCTTTATGTTGTCGCATGTACACTGAATTACGTTTGACTTAAATTTTAATATTTTGTATTGTCTTTATTTTGAGTTACACTGGCCTTGATTTTGCTGTTTCCTTTTGTATAACTTTGTATAACCTTTATTTAACTGAAATGTATTTTATTGTTTTTGAAACTCAGTGTATAATCTCGGTATTAAGGTATTTATTTATTTTAACTCTTTGCATTTGTACTCAGGCTAAAACTTTTAACAATAATATTATTATTATAATATTGGTATTATTTGGGTAAGGTTTATAAAATGTTATTATTATTATTATTATTATTATTATTAGTATTGCTCTTATTATTATTATTAAATTTGATATTACCATTAGGTCATATCATGGTAAGGTAATAGTATCGTTTAACCTTTTGATAGATTCTGGATAGAGACTTTGATTTAAACTGCTTATCTTAGCGCTTTATTTGGAATATTTGATAATGGCTTTAACGTTACTATATATGATAAAAAATCTCTTTATGTTATTATTCAGCGCGATACTTTCTGGTGGTTAGAGTTTTGGCCATGTTCAGGTGTTTCTTGTTATGACTCTCTCCTATTTATTATTTTATTGTATTTTATTTATATTTTACACCATTTTATTTTATTGCATATTATTTATTTTATTGGTGTCTGTATTTGTACTTGTGTTTTCGTTTGGAGAGTGCTCATGCATGAATATTTGAACATGGGTAATATATTAGCATTATTTCAAAAGGATTTATCCTTAGAAGAAAAATAGTGTTTTTATGTTATTACCTATATAAACTCTGTGTGCAGAATTGTTTGTATATTTTTGCAATACTTTTGTCTTGTTCTGGACATTGATTTTGTAAGAATATTTGAACATATTGTGATATAGCGACACTTTAGTGAGATAGGACCACCATAGCTGTCGTTATATCACTTCGCAGAGTATGCAATTGTTCCATAGTGTGGTTATTGGCAACGGTTTAATATCTGCACTTGGTTAAAGCATATGAATTCTCTCTATCAGAAATATGTGGTTGCTGTAGTTTATTTATATAAAATCGTGTCCTTGTTCAATAGTTCGAAGATGCGTGGTAAGGTAACCAAATATTAAAACACATCGCCAGGTAAACAAATATTAAAACACATCGTCATAAAATGACGATCTCTATTATAACTATTTTACCTGAGTACAAAATGTTTTGAATATTGATAAAAACACCCAAATTATATGAAATATGTTTATCTGCTTTTTATGTTATTTTATTCACTTATTATTTATACTACATTCTTGTGATTATGACCCATATAACTATGTTTTGTTTTGTATTTTATTTTTATTTGAACTGTGTAAGTCGCCAGGGTTTTTATGGTCCCTTTTCCCTGTGCTTTGACTCAACGGGCCACCCCTTTGTCTTTGCTTAAATTAAATCAGGGGTTTAAAAATTAAATGCTTGTGTTTCATTAAACCTGACCAATTTCAAAATATCGTTATTATCAATGTAAGTAAATACACAACGTAGAGTCCTAATTTTTATAAAGTAAGTAAATTAACTAGACGATCACGAATATGCCAAAACAAGTATTTCAGCATACTTAAAGAATCGGGTTACGAAAATACCTAGGGTAGATTACAGTGCTTTAATTCAGTTGCCTTTAGCGCTTCAGTTGATAAATTGGTGAGTTTTTATTGTTTAAAATTGTTCTTCAATATATATTTTAAAATAAAAAAAATATTTTAGATTTTTTTACAAAAATATGGGTACTTGGATAGTACACCAACTAGCCCAAATAAATTGTCCAGACTTATGAATAAAAAAAATTACAGCGAAGCATTAAAACGCTTTCAAAAGTTCTATGGGCTAAATGCAACAGGTATGTTTAATTTATTGAATAAGTTTATTTTTTATTTTTAAATAATCCAATCTATCGATATCATATAATAAATTAAACATTATTTTAGATTGTACAGGGTGGCGCATAAGTCCCGTTATGGTTTTCATAATGAATAACTTTTTTTCTTATAATATTTAGTTCATTTTATTTTTCAACCGTTAAATACATTGTTTGGAAATTATTTTAAATTATGTTTTAAAAATGGTATCTTTTAAATGGAGACCATTTTCAGCCTTGACTTGACGTGCTCTCTCCAGGGCATTTTCCATTACTTTGGTTAGGATATCAGGTCCCAACACCTGAATTTCATCTTGAATATTGGCTTTAAGCTGTTGTATGGTTCTTGGTTTATTTGCATACACCTTACCTTTAAAGTAACCCCAAAGAAAAAAGTCAGGGGCCGTTAAATCGGGCGAACGGGAGGGCCAGTTAAAATTGGAAAATCGCGAAATTATTCGATCGTCGAAAATTTCTCTTTCTCTCCTATAGGAGAGCCAAAGTTTGCCTAGCAGTGTGAGCAGTGGAACCACATCGCTGGACGGTTTTCCACCTCTTGCCTTAAAAAGTTTTCAATCATGGTCCGGTATTGGGGACCGTCTATAGACGGTCGTATACGTTAACCGTATCTCCTTCACCATTTTCAAAGAAATATGGCCCAATTATCCTTTCCGAGGTTACACCACACCATACTGTACACTAGGGTGGGCCGAAAAAAATATTTTTTGAATTCAATTTAGGGGTACCAAAAAAGTTTCCTTATGCCAAAGGTAGTTTGTAAAAAAAAATTTAGCATACTAGCCCAATATTTAAGGGTCCCCCTGGGGCCCAAAATATTATTTTTTTATATTTTGTTTGGGGTGGCAACAAAAAGTTACATTATTGACAATAATTGTAGAAAAAAAATTAGCGTACTAGCCCAATATTTAAGGGTGCCCCGGGGGCCCAATATTTTTTTTTATATATTAATTGGGGTAGCCACAAAAAGTTACCTTATGTTAACAATATTTTTACAAAAAAATGTCCAATATTAGAGTTTGACGAAAAAAATTTGGCGGTTTACCAAATTCTAGGGTTAAAAATGTTTATAAATTTTGAAATGTTTTTTTAAAATAAAAGAACTAAAAATATTTATAAGTCAAGCAGACGACTTCTATATAAGGTTCGGCAAGTTTCTCTTTCACACGCAAGCGGTGAAAAAGTTTGTGAAGCTTGTAACAGAAGCTGCATTAAAAATTTGCTGTGAGGTAGTAAGAAATGGTTATAACCATATATATATAGATGCGCGGACATCTTTACCGGCCTATATGACAACAAGTCTCAATATTATTTAAATAATAAAAAAAACTGGGTGGGAGGGAGCGGATGGAACTCGAGAAGCAAATATCCAATTAATTAATAATAATAATAATAATAAAAATGCTTTATTTTATAAAACACAAAATTAATTACACAAAAGGCTGCGTTCGTAAGGACGTTCTTCCATACTAGAAATTAAATCTATTTTATTCTGCATATCACATATTAATTAAACTAAATCATATAATTGCATATCACAACAGTTAATAACAAATTTTTGTACTCTAAATTAAATGTGTTTGGATATTTAAATATTATGTTAAAGAATGTTTTATCGTTCAAAAGTTCTATAGATAGGTCTATAAACGAATCCTTAGATTTTGAATTTTTGTGTCTAGGTATTTGAAAAAGATTGTGCCTTAAATCAAGATTGTATTTATTGGATCTTTGAATACAGTTGTTGAATAGGTATTCAGGCAATTATTAGGTATTTACTTTCTGTAAGGATCAATTATTTTTAAATGCTTGTTTTCCAAATAGATTAAAGTAATGGGGTCAAATTTTCCGACTAAATATATGAATCTAATACATGAGTTTATTTTTAAATGTTTCAGTATGATATGAGTAGTAGACTGGCATGCAATAGTCTATAATAGGGTGTATATTAATGTTGAAACAATTTTGCACTTGGTGTTAGAATTTAGAACATACTTAAATTAATATAGTGATTTCAGCTTCATATAACACAAACTAAGTTGTCTTGTAACATGGCTTTCAAAGTTCAGGTTTGTATAAATAATAAAAAAACACCCAGATTTCTTGCTGTTTCTTGCTGAGGTATTTCTATAATATTTATATGTATGATATTAAAATTATATTGTTTTTTATTTATCATAATATATATACAGAGACCTGCATAAAAAACGGCCATTGCTGTAGCATCGTTATTCCTTATCCGATTTTTAAAATTCAAAAACCAGTTTAAATGGTATGATGTCTTCTATGATTCGACGATTAAAAATATTTTTTTTATTATGATGCTTGTGAGGACTGATAGTCAACTTTTATTTTTCAAATGACAACTATATTTTTTTATTATTTTTTCGCATTTCTTATGCTTCCCTGAGCATAACGGTATATCAATATCATAATTTTAATTATAAAACACGAAGAAAACAAATAAAACTGCGAAAATTTTTACATATCGTAGTAGCATCAGGACACCCACAAAATGCTTCCAATTTAATAAATATGCGTATCCATGGTTACGGCTTTTTTCTCTATGAACGTCAGATTTATTTTGAATGTTTTCAAAATTCAAGAGAAAGATGTCGGCTTTGTTTGAACAGAAGCTATAAAATTTATTATGATTATTATACTATTATATATATATTATGTATTACTTTGGTTTTGTTTCAGTATAAAATTAAAAAAATCTGTTTGTTTTATTGATGCTGCTTGGCATTTTTATTTTTATAAAAGTCATAACCATACGCATATTATTAAATTGGAAGTATTTTGTGGGTGTCCTGATGCTACTGCGATTTGTAAAAATTTTCGCAGTTTTATTTTTTTTCTTCGTGTTTTATAATTAAAATTATAATATTAATATACCGTTATGCTCAGAAAAGCATAAGAAATGCGAAAAAAATAATAAAAAAATATAGTTGTCATTTGAAAAATAAAAGTTGACTATCAGTGCTCACTAGCATTATAATAAAAAAAATATTTTTAACCGTCGAATCATAGAAGACATCATACCATTCAAACTCGTTTTTGAATTTTGAAAATCGGATAAGGAATAACGATGCTACAGCAATGGCCGTTTTTTATGCAGTTCTCTGTATATATATATATTATATACTGTATTAATATTTATTAAAAGACTCTTTTTGGCATTTAACTGAAGTCTATGACTTTATTTATTTCGATAGTGGTTGTGTTAATTAATTTAGAGTAACGCAAAATCTTTTTTAAATTTAATAAAGACAAGCTAAGAGTTGCTAATTTTTTTCATCAAAAGGCGTCTTAAAAAAATAATTAAAAAAACTTAGACTGATACATTTGGTTTGTCTATGCAATAATACATGGGGTAACTTTTTGTTGCCATCGCAATTAAAATATATATAAAAAAATTTGGGCCCCTCAGGGCACCCTTAAATATTGGGCTAGAATGGCTATTTTTTTCGAAACATACTGTTAACATGAGGTTACTTTTTGTGGTTACCCCAATTAAAATATGAACAAAAAATATATTTTGGGCCTCCGGGGCACCCTTAAATTTTGGGCTAGTTCGCTCATTTTTTTTTAGAATTACTGTTAATATAAGGTAACTTTTGTGGTTACCCCAATTAAAATATGATAAAAATAAATATTTTGGGCCTCCAGGGCACCCTTAAATATTGGGCTAGTACGCTCATTTTTTTTTCTAGAATTACTGTTAACATAAGGTAACTTTTTGTTCCCACCCCAGTCAAAACATAAAAAAAAATATTTTGGGCCCCCGGGGGACCCTTAAATAATGGGCTAGTACGCTACATTTTTTTCTAATAAATTACTTTTAACATAAGGTAACTTTTTATTGCTACCCAAAAATAAATATCTCAAATATTTTTTTTTTTACGTTTTTCGGCCCACCCTACTGTACAGGGTGATCCCCTATAATGTCGCCCCCCTTTAACTTTTTTATTTTAAGTGTCCCAAAAAATTTTAAAGTGTGGTTATGTAGGAACTAAAAAATATTTTTTTTCTACGTATAAAGAAAATTGGAAAATTGATCAGTATACAGGGAAAAACAAAAAGTTTATTTTTTTTCAATGGATCACCCTATATTTGAATTTATTTTTCGATTCCTTGTAAAATTCTGAGCATAATTTATATACAAACCATATACCTAAATTCAACCGTTTCTGAAATATTCGCATTCGAAATGTCATCATTAAATGTTTTTTTAAACTGTTAAAAATCAAGAAGCCTCAGTATACCAAAATTTTTATTGAAAATAAATTACTATAGTGACATTATGTGAATAAGTGTTGTTAAATAAGTAAAAATGGCGTACTCAGACAGAGAAAGACAAACTATTTCAACTTATTATCTTAAAAATAATTTAAATATTTCAGAAACGGTTGAATTTAGGTATATGGTATGATATATGAAATATGCTTAGAATTTTACAAGGAATCGAAAAATAAATTCATATAAAGGGTGATCTATTGAAAAAAAATTAACTTTTTGTTTTTCCCTGTATACTGATCAATTTTCCAATTTTCTTTATACGTAGAAAAAAAGTATTTTTTAGTTCCTACATAACCACGCTTTTAATTTTTTTGGGACACTTAAAATAAAAAAGTTAAAGGGGGGCGACATTATAGGGGATCACCCTGTGCCCCAGATTATAGGGGATCACCCTGTGCCCCAGATCCTGCAGTTTTGTTTATTCACATAACTGTTTAAGTAAAAATGAGCTTAATCGCTCATTATAAGGTTGTGAATAAACCCATTCTGCTCTCTGGCCAACTCTTGGAAACGACGTGCATATTGAATGCGATTTGGTGCATCATTTGGTTTTAACTCGTGTACCAACTGAATCTTGTAGGGAGACAAGTGCAACTGCCTTAAAATTCTTTGCAGAGATCGCCTAGATATTATTAATTGTTGGCAAGGTCGTGAACAGTCCCCTGCTGTTGAATAAGCTGAACTATTCGATAAATTGTTGGAGCTGTTGGCGCGTTTCGAACAATGAAAAAATTACGATAAGCTCGCTGTGTTAAAATAATAGAATGTTGATGTTCAAAATAAAATTGAACAATTTTGCTTCTTTGTTCGATGTTAAATTTTTCCATCATAAATCTCCCACTCTCTGACTATAAGATTCTAAAATAAAAATAAAAAAATATTAGTATTCAAAAAAGTTACTAACTATATTAATCATAACGGAACCTACTAAAATTGCTATTTTTAGGAATTGCAGATACAGAAACTCTTCTAGCAATGAATTTGCCACGCTGTGGGGTAAAAGACCCCAATACAAGTAAACAAACAAGACACAAAAGATATGCTGTTATGGACCGTGAGTATTTACTATTTTTATAATTTGTTAAATAAATAAACACATTATTTTAGAACCATTGTGGAAAAAACGAGATCTAACCTACAACATTTCAAAATATTCCTATCATTTAGACAGAAACTTAGTAGAACGTGAAATAGAAAGGGCTTTCGCGGAATGGTCAAAGTACACTGATTTTACTTTTACAAATTCAAAAAATCGAAATGCCGATATAGACATTAGATTTGAAAGAAGAGATCATGGTGATGGAGATCCTTTTGATGGTCCCGGTCCTGAATTAGCTCATGCTGAAGTAAGTTCATTTTCAAATAGCAATTACTTAAGTTACCTAAACATATACACGTGAGTGAATAATTTTTATTTTTGATTGTTTCACTGTTAGTGTAGAATGGGGTTTTTGGGAAGCCACCAGGTCTAGTAATAGTAACATAACATAAGTGGTTCTGCACTAATGCAAGAATTTTAAGAAATCATTAATTTTGAATATTGGAGCTTCACGGAGGTTAGGATTTCGTATGTTTTCTTTAAACATCCCTTTGTATATTTGAAATAAGTTATTGTATCTTTTGACACCTTAATATTTTTTAAAAACACAATTGTACATAGATGAAATATTTATAAAAAAAAATCTACTTACTGAGATATTACACTTCACGGTAGATAGGTTTTTAAATAGCAAATTAATGAACTTAAACTTCTGAATTATAAAACAGCAACACTCTCATCTGCATGTAAATTCTAACTAATCACATGCATCTATAATGTCGTAAACATAGGTTTTTGCTAATTTAAAATGATTAAAGCGCCATCCGTTGCATAAAATTAAAAGCAAAAACAGATTCAAGGAGGATGGAATCAATTTTTGTAACACCTACACAAACGGTTATAAAAATTATTTCTTTTAATTTTTAATAATGTTTTATATTTGATTCGATTGCTTTGGATGTGTTTAATTTACTTAGTGAACTAAAATTTTTAGTATGCTTTTAGTACCTCAGATATTTGAAAACATATAGGTTAACCTAGAAAGAGTAACAGTCACGTAGGATAGGTTTAAGACTTTTAAGACATTGTAAAAAATAATTAATTGCCGTTAAAAATCTTAAACTTGAGCTGTAATATCTACTTAATTATGAAAGATCAAAACAGAATAAAAGTGTAAGTCAAACTCATTTAGTTTCATTAAATATTACGGGGTAACATTTCGTGAGATTCACCCATGCATATAGATGAGCATTTTAATATTAATTTTTAATTTTGGCATAATCTTAGTAATAAATGTATAGGTGAAGGAGGATGGTACGGGATTAATTCATTTTGATGATGATGACAATTGTGGTGAAGACGATGGCTTCTTTTTCAAAATTGTTTTGCACGAAATTGGCCACGTTCTTGGACTTGATCACACCAATGAGGAGAAATCAGTGATGCGGCCCAGAGCGGATATAACATATTCCGAATTGCAAAGCTACGATATCCAAGCGATACAAGACCTGTATGAATATTCGGATAAAAATTCTGATGAAAATTTATGGTTGAAAAAGTTTTTTTCCTGGGTTCTGGATGAATCTTTTAATTAATTTTCGGATTTATATCAATTTTTTATCTAATGTAACTAAGTTAATAAACTATTTAATAGTTTTTAAAATGTCTTTTTTTATTTTGTTTATTTTATAGACAAACATTGCCCTTTTATATATATATATATATATATATATATATATTTTCCTAAAATAAGACCCAGAAGGACACGGTTACATTTTATTGACTTGAAATTTAACTGACATTATCATAAAAATCAATGTTGCTTTGTTTTATACATTGTTATAATTTTTGAGATAAAATTTTTCGGTGATGCTATCACGTTTTTTTTCGGTGGATCATCCTCTTTTACTTTATTAAATTTTACATTTTTAGCCTTGATTTCTTTTTCTTTTTGTTTGTCTTTTGCCGGAAGTGATTTCGATTTCTTAACTATCAAATGTTTCGCAATATTATCGATGCTTTTTGGCGCTAAATCATAATCCAAATAGTTCATATTTTTGTTTGTTGAGCTCCAAGGAAAAACTTCCTCCTGCTTCTTTTTAGACTTCTTTGAAGGAGCAACCAGAAGCCTTTTAGATGAAGACTTAACTTCTGGTAGAGGTATTTGCTTTAAAAAGTGCTTCGTGGCATGTTGACCTTTTTTTGCTTCCTTCACCTTGGATTTACTCCTGATTGCCACATCTGAACTACTTTTGGTTGCCCTAATAGTTTCATGGTTGGATAAACCATCCAAATCGCTTTTTTGTTTGGAAGCAACTTTAAGTTTCTTGAACAAATCACTTTCCGAAAGATTCCTTCGCACCCTCTTGTTCAATTTAATGGTTTTCATGATCTCCCTGTTGATGTTCGTTTTGGTTTTCGCGACAGGTTTGGTGGCGTATACACCTTTATAATTCGACAGTGATAACGTTATGGATCGCGTATCATCGTCGGCCGGTTTGATGCGAAGCTTCTCAGGGGCATGGTAAATATCTCGGTTGGCCTGTCTTTTCATCATTGCGTCCTTTATCGACATGCTTACAGATCGGGCGTCATCATCGATGTTCAATTTTTTTATCGCGATATTGAACGATCTAGCATCCAGCGATCTAGCATCGTCATCACATCGTCTTTTGTACGGTTCTTGGTAGTATTCTCTTTTCAAGGTCGGTTGCGTTATGCCTCTTTTGAAATCTGGCGGCGATGTTTTACACTCCACCAGGCAGTTTCGCACCGAAACGTCATCATCGAACATGTCCCTGTTGCTGTTGCTCTTGATGGTTTCTTTGTAAGGAATTTTCCCCACTATGTTGAGGTTGTTTCTCACGGTACCCACATCGTAACTTATGAGACTATGACGAATTAGAAATGCTTGTGCCGAAATTCCAGTAGATAAGCTACTTACTTAGTCGAATGATCTGAATCTGCAATAAAAATAAGGTGTTCCATTAGACATTTTAAAGTGCCCTCCCTATAAGGATGAGAGTATGGGGAATAATTTTGGTACCAATTTATTTTCCCCCTCGAATCGTTTCATTTTTATTTTATACATTGTAACATGCCTATTTACTGAGATGTTTTAAAGTTTCAAGTTAAACGAAAAATATATAGGTAGATATATATATTTTCCTAAAATAAAACCCAGAAGGACACGGTTACATTTTATTGACTTGAAATTTAACTGACATTATCATAAAAATCAATGTTGCTTTGTTTTATACATTGTTATAATTTTTGAGATAAAATTTTTCGGTGATGCTATCACGTTTTTTTTCGGTGGATCATCCTCTTTTACTTTATTAAATTTGACGTTTTTAGCCTTGAGTTCTTTTTCTTTTTGTTTGTCTTTTGCCGGAAGTGATTTCGCTTTCTTAACTATCAAATGTTTCGCAATATTATCGATGCTTTTCGGCGCCAAATCATAATCCAAATAGTTCATATTTTTGTTTGTTGCGCTCCAAGGAAAAACTTCTTCCTGCTTCTTTTTAGACTTCTTTGAAGGAGCAACCAAAAGCCTTTTAGATGAAGACTTAACTTCTGGTAGAGGTATTTGCTTTAAAAAGTGCTTCGTGGCATGTTGACCTTTTTTGGCTTCCTTCACCTTGGATTTGCTCCTGATTGCCACATCTGAACCACTTTTGGTTGCCCTAATAGTTTCATGGTTGGATAAACCATCCAAATCGCCCTTTTGTTTGGATGCAACTTTAAGTTTCTTGAACAAATCACTTTCCGAAAGATTCCTTCGCACCCTCTTGATCAATTTAATGGTTTTGCGACAGGTTTTGTGGCGTATACACCTTTATAATTCGACAGTGATAACGTTATGGACCGCGTATCATCGTCGGCCGGTTTGATGCGAAGCTTCTCAGGGGCATGGTAAATATCTCGGTCGGCCTGTCTTTTCATCATTGCGTCCTTTATCGACATGCTTACAGATCGGGCGTCATCATCGATGTTCGATTTTTTTATCGCGATATTGAACGATCTGGCATCCAGCGATCTAGCATCGTCATCACATCGTCTTTTGTACGGTTCTTGGTAGTATTCTCTTTTCAAGGTTGGCTGCGTTATGCCTCTTTTGAAATCTGGCGGCGATGTTTTACACTCCACCAGGCAGTTTCGCACTGAAACGTCATCATCGAACATGTCTCTGTTGCTGTAGCTCTTGATGGTTTCTTTGTAAAGAATTTTCCCCACTATGTTGAGGTTGTTTTTCACAGTAACTTATGAGACTACGACGAATTAGAAATGCTTGTGCCGAAATTCCAGTAGATAAGCTACTTACTTAGTCGAATGATTTGATTCTGCAATAAAAATAAGGTTTTCCATTAGACATTTTAAAGTGCCCTCCCTATAAGGATGAGAGTATGGGGAATAATTTTGGTACTAATTTATTTTCCCCCTCGAATCATTTCATTTTTATTTTAAACATTGTAACATGCCTATTTACTAAGATGTTTTAAAGTTTTAAGTTAAAAGAAAAATATATAGGTAGGTATATATATTTTCCTAAAATAAAACCCAGAAGGACACGGTTACATTTTATTGACTTGAAATTTAACTGACATTATCATAAAAATCAATGTTGCTTTGTTTTATACATTGTTATAATTTTTGAGATAAAATTTTTCGGTGATGCTATCACGTTTTTTTTCGGTGGATCATCCTCTTTTACTTTATTAAATTTGACGTTTTTAGCCTTGAGTTCTTTTTCTTTTTGTTTGTCTTTTGCCGGAAGTGATTTCGCTTTCTTAACTATCAAATGTTTCGCAATATTATCGATGCTTTTTGGCGCTAAATCATAATCCAAATAGTTCATATTTTTGTTTGTTGAGCTCCAAGGAAAAACTTCCTCCTGCTTCTTTTTAGACTTCTTTGAAGGAGCAACCAGAAGCCTTTTAGATGAAGACTTAACTTCTGGTAGAGGTATTTGCTTTAAAAAGTGCTTCGTGGCATGTTGACCTTTTTTGGCTTCCTTCACCTTGGATTTACTTCTGATTGCCACATCTAAACTACTTTTGGTTGCCCTAATAGTTTCATGGTTGGATAAACCATCCAAATCGCCCATTTCTTGAACAAATCACTTTCCGAAAGATTCCTTCGCACCCTCTTGTTCAATTTAATGGTTTTCATGATCTCCCTGTTGATGTTCGTTTTGGTTTTCGCGACAGGTTTTGTGGCGTATACACCTTTATAATTCGACAGTGATAACGTGAGAGATCGCGTATCATCGTCGACCGGTTTGATGCGAAGCTTCTCAGGGGCATGGTAAATATCTCGGTCGGCCTGTCTTTTCATCATTGCGTCCTTTATCGACATGCTTACAGATCGGGCGTCATCATCGATGTTCGATTTTTTTATCGCGATATTGAACGATCTAGCATCCAGCGATCTAGCATCGTCATCACATCGTCTTTTGTACGGTTCTTGGTAGTATTCTCTTTTCAAGGTCGGTTGCGTTATGCCTCTTTTGAAATCTGGCGGCGATGTTTTACACTCCACCAGGCAGTTACGCACCGAAACGTCATCATCGAACATGTCCCTGTTGCTGTTGCTCTTGATGGTTTCTTTGTAAGGAATTTTCCCCACTATGTTGAGGTTGTTTCTCACGGTACCCACATCGTAACTTATGAGACTACGACGAATTAGAAATGCTTGTGCCGAAATTCCAGCAGATAAGCTACTTACTTAGTCAGATGAATCTGCAATAAAAATTTTAAAGTGCCCTTCCTATAAGGATGAGAGTTTGGGGAATAATTTTGGTACGAATTTATTTTTCCCCTCGAATCATTTCATTTTTATTTTAAACATTGTAACATGCCTATTTACTGAGATATTTTAAAGTTTCAAGTTAAAAGAAAAAATATAGGTAGGTATATACATTTTCCTAAAATAAAACCCAGAAGGACACGGTTACATTTTATTGACTTGAAATTTAACTGACATTATCATAAAAATCAATGTTGCTTTGTTTTATACATTGTTATAATTTTTGAGATAAAATTTTTCGGTGATGCTATCACGTTTTTTTTCGGTGGATCATCCTCTTTTACTTTATTAAATTTGACGTTTTTAGCCTTGAGTTCTTTTTCTTTTTGTTTGTCTTTTGCCGGAAGTGATTTCGCTTTCTTAACTATCAAATGTTTTGCAATATTATCGATGCTTTTTGGCGCCAAATCATAATCCAAATAGTTCATATTTTTGTTTGTTGCGCTCCAAGGAAATCCTTCTTCCTGCTTCTTTTTAGACTTCTTTGAAGGAGCAACCAGAAGCCTTTTAGATGAAGACTTAACTTCTGGTAGAGGTATTTGCTTTAAAAAGTGCTTCGTGGCATGTTGACCTTTTTTTGCTTCCTTCACCTTGGATTTACTTCTGATTGCCACATCTGAACTACTTTTGGTTGCCCTAATAGTTTCATGGTTGGATAAACCATCCAAATCGCCCTTGTTTTTGGAAGCAACTTTAAGTTTCTTGAACAAATCACTTTCCGAAAGATTCCTTCGCACCCTCTTGTTCAATTTAATGGTTTTCATGATCTCCCTGTTGATGTTCGTTT